CGTCGATCGCGCGGCGCACGCCCGGCAAATGCTTGGCGATGATGTCCGCGGTCTCGCGCGCGCGGCTCATCGTCGACGAGTGCACCGCGCGGCAGACGGCGCCCTTCTGGAGCACGAGCTCCGCGACGCGCGCGCCGCAGGCGTCGGCCTGCGCGCGGCCTAAAGGCGTCAGAATTCGCTCCTCGTCGTCGAGCTTGCGCTCCTGGTACTGGCCGTGGCGCACGAGGATGATGTGGCGGCGCCGCGCGGCCGCGGCGCCGGCCATGCCCGGCTTCCGCCGCTTGCCGTGCGAGTCGAAGTCGCGGTGGTCCCAGTTGTAGTCCCACTGCGGGTACGGCACGGCGGGCACGAAGAGCTGCGCCTCGATCGTCGCGTCGCTCACGGCCGTCAGGCGCCGCTGCACGGGCGGCTTGACGCTCTTCCAGGGCTCGCTGAGCGCCGTCGCGCCGCCGACGGCCGCCGCGCCGAGGCCCGCGACGGGCGCCAGGCCGTGGAGCGTGCGCAAAAAGCGGTACGCCATGGCTGCAACGACGCGGACCTGGAATGGCCGGCGCCGTCGACGACGCGCGCGGCCTCGATCTCGCGCACCTTGGTGGTGCGTTGGCACCCTGTTCCGGGCCGACCACGGCAGCGCCGACGCCGCGGCGCAGCGACGCGGTACTCGGAAGTCACCATCTTGAGCGCGATCGGTCTACCGGAGCACCGTCGACTAGGAAAACAAGGGGCACGTCCAGCGCCATCGATGGTGGTGAGAGCGTTGGCATCGGAGTCGTACGAAATGGCCGCGACGCGCGAGCGCGAGGCCGCGGGCGCGCGCGCGAACCAGCCCGTTTTTTCCCTCCCGGCCTGAGGACGCGCCCCGGGGGCCGCCCGGGCGCCGCGGGCAGGTCCGCGAGTGGGCGAGGTCCGGGTAGGCGCCAAGACGCGGCAATCCCACAGCCTGCCACCCCCCGCTCAATCTTGTGGCCGGCAGACAAACTCGCCGACGTCGCTCGACGATGTCGGTCCCTCACTCGCCCCCGCAACGGGATCGAGACGACGAAGGTCCTCGAGAGACGCCGGCCGACGGCCGGAAGAATCGACGAGTCGCGGGCGACGGCGAGGAATTGCTGGACATGAGCCCTTTCCGAAACCTAGAGCTCTTCGACGACAAGGAGGTCCTCGCGGAGTCGCCGCCCGCGGTCCCCACCGACATGCCGGCGGCCCCGGCGGCCGAGGATCTCGTGCCGCCGCCCGCGTCCGAGTCGTCGTTCGCCGCGCAGATGGCCGCGCGCGTGCTCGGTACGACG